TTTTCTTGTATTTGTAATTTATAATTTTACATCTGGTGTTCTGTGCCATCATCAAACAGGTGTACCTGACAGTTTATATTTTTGGATTTGTCTAAGTTTTTCAAGTTAAACAATCATCAAAACAAATTTTAATAAAGAATTAAAATTCTTCATACACAATATAGATTTTGTACAGAGTTCAGTAAGCACGTACACGTGCAGTTTTCAAGTCCAAACACATCGTCAGCTTAGAAAATGGCATCAATATTTTTTCAAATGAGGTTTGATATGTTTTAGTCCAACGAATAATTATTCTTCTGTCAAAGTATCAACCTTGAATATCCATGTGATTTCTTATTTTTTGAAGATTTTGTGATTGACATCGAGCACTTGTTGTGGCGACGTAGTGTTCTTCGTGTCGGCGGTAGAAAATGCCCAGTCATTTCTGCACGAATCATCCGACAACCTTGAATTATATACCTTATTCCATGTCATTTGGACGTTAGTCAGTTGATTTTGTTAGATTTTCAGCTCTTTAGAGTACTTTACCTACATTTCAGACCCATTTAAAACGAGACAACTTTTTGCCGCCGTCTGTCAGCCATTTTGTTTTAAGTGACCACGTGACCATTTTTAAGTTCGTAAAGCATCATGGGGGACTATACGCTACGTTGATAGATAGATTGATAGATTGAAGAAAAGGTAGAACTTAAGTCGTGCCCAGGCCTAAGGCCTGCGCCCGACTAAAAATCTGAAACAAAAAAAACTATAAAATACCTTTTGTCCTTTTGTCGTTTCATTTTATTATTAAATATACATGAACTATTACTCCAATAAGGGCTGTCTATTTGGACAGGTTATCAATATTGTAAATCTGATACAACACCAGTATTATATCAGATTTACAATACAGTCGTCACCATTGAGACAACCCAACATTAGCAAAGGTCTCAGTTTAAATATCCAATGTCTGCTGATCTGTATACTCTGGTGTCTTTCAACTGAATTTCTGAAGCGTTTATTAATAAGTGTATGATCTATTTGGTTCTTGGTTCTTCTGTCTGGAGATGTCCATGTCGTCTTATGTATATCTTTATGAGGGAATAAAGTACCTGTAATAACAAGTTCATTCATATCACAAATATCGCGTAGCCTTTTCCCGTTATCATTTCTATGTCCCATCCCATGTGCTCCAATCACTCGATCTTTCATAGCCTTCTCTGTCGTATCCTACTTTGGCGTTCATGTCTCCTGTAATTATCAGCCATCATATCATGTTTATTTCTGCTATCCAACACGTCTTGTAGTTTCATGTAGAAAACATCTTTTGTCCGCTCATCCGTGTCTTCAGTAGGTGCGTATAACTCACTCACAGCACAATACATAAAGTATGAAATATACTACTAACGTCCTCCTAGAGTCATTTGGAAGTGACATATAGCACCATGAGGAGTATAGCACCATGAGGAGTTTCCTAAGTTGTAGTGTCCTTAATCTTCACATGAAATCCTTATATCTTTCAGTGGATGGCAAATTTACCGAGTGGGGCAGATGGTCGAATTGTTCCCTAACCTGCGGCAATGGAACAAGACATCGAAACCGTTCCTGCACCAACCCACCTCCTGCTTATGGAGGAAAAGACTGTACTGGGCAATACAACGACACACAGATCTGTAACCCGCAGCCATGTCCCGGTAAGTGTTATTTATGATAAGAGAATTACACTGGAAAAGTTGAAACCTGGTGTTATGTTGGGCTAGCTAGGCTAGAATCTTCGTGGCATTGAAAAGGCGTACCTTGAGACTATTGGCTAATCCCTTTAATTCTCGTTTCAATGTCGAGCTCGTGGCTTACAGTTTTTGCTTCTATAACTTATTCAAACTTTCATCACTCTAGGCTTGTCTTCTTCGACTTCTGGCTAAAAAATTGCCTTATCATCTTATTATCAAATATACATGAACTATTACCCCAAGAAGGGCTGTCTATTTGGTCAGTTTATCAATCTTGTAAATCTGATATAACACTAGTATTATATCAGATTTACAATACAGTCGTCACCATTGAGACAACCCAACATTAGCAAAGGTCTCAGTTTAAATATCCGATGTCTGCTGATCTGTATACTCTGGTGTTTTTCAACTGAATTTCTGAAGCGTTTATTAATAAGTGTATGATCTATTTGGTTCTTGGTTCTTCTGTCTGAAGATGTCCATGTCGTCTTATGTATATCTTTATGAGGGAATAAAGTACCTGTAATAACAAGTTCATTCATATCACAAATATCGCATAACCTTTTCCCGTTATCATTTCTMTGTCCCATYCCATGTGYTCCAATCACTCTTTCATAGCCTTCTCTGTCGTATYCTACTTTGGCGTTCATGTCTCCTGTAATTATCATCATATCATGTTTATTTCTGCTATCCAACACGTCTTGTAGTTTCATGWAGAAATCATMTTTTGWCCGCTCATCCGTGTCTTCAGTAGGTGCGTATAAGTGAATAAGTGTCAGCTTTATGTGTTGTGAGTAAAATCTAGCTTTTAAGATTCTTTCGGTGATTGGTGTCCAGTCGATTAATGACTCAGTCGCTTTTTTTGACATTAGTATGCCTACTCGTTCCCTATGGTTGTCATCATCCCTTTCAGAATAGATTATGGTATGTCCTTCTGCTAATTGAATTTTATCTTGTCCTACCCAGTGTGTTTCACTTATCCCCATGATGTCAATAGCTTTCCGTGACATTTCTCTTGCTGCTTGTGCTAGGTTTCCACTCCTATATAATGTTCGTACATTCCAATTTCCAACTTTCAATATGTTTTTAGGGTCCACTAATTTCTTTTTCCGCCCTTGGGGTTCCTTTCGGCTTTGTCCTTCGTGTATCATGCTTTCACTTCTTTCGTAAAGAACGGCAACAGTGTTCCTTAGATTGGTTGAAATTTTCTCGATTTTCGGTTTCTGTAATAAGTTGTTTTTTACGGGAGCGGGTTATCAGCCCTCTGCCTCAGCGGTTATTTATTTAATCATATTAATTATATTAATGTTATTCTACTTACTTCCTCTAGTTGGTCTACCTGTGCTTTTCGATTAATTATTATTTATGATATTTGTATATATTCACTTAATTTGGTTACTATAGTAACTTCTATAATATTTTTGGCTGCGAAATAAAGTTATAATGTGTCGTACGAACATTCCCCGTTCTAATAACAATCATTGTAGTATTTGCTTCGTTCTCAAAACACCCAAAACAGTTATAATGTATCGTACGAACATTCCTCGTCATAATAACAATCATTGTAGTATTTGCTTCGTTCTCAAAACACCCAAAACAGTAATAATGTGTCGTACGAACATTCCTCGTCATAATAACAATCATTGTAGTATTTGCTTCGTTCTCAAAACACCCAAAACAGTTATAATGTGTCGTACGAACATTCCTCGTCATAATAACAATCATTGTAGTATTTGCTTCGTTCTCAAAACACCCAAAACAGT